GAGCCCTTGTCACGTGTCTAACACAAACCATCGCTGTTTCCTTTCTGGCTTTGACCTTCAGATATGGTCCAGGAAAGGCTGCTTCACACTTGTTAATGAGAGAGCTGTGGTTCCGAGTTAGACACCTGCATAAGTTGTGACTGCATTGGGTTATGGTACTGTCTACTCTTAAGAACTTACCTCTCTCCTCTTTTTTTTTTCTACTTTTGCTTTTTTTCCTCTCAATTTTTTTTATTTACTTTTTTATTAATTTAAATGAACATTTATAGAGACTTTGGATTTCCATTCATTCATTGTTGCATTTTTCTCCCTGCCCACCCACCCACCCATACACTTCTCTCTTCCCTTTGAGAAGTAAAAGAAAAATTCTTTAATTATTACATAATACCCCCCCTTCTATACCGTTTCAAACTCTTTGGTCTTTGAGGGGCAGGATCTTTTAAAATTCCAAGAGAAGATATGGACCTTCTCAGAACAATAACCAACCATTTATTTTTTGCATAAAATGTCGTGTATCTTGAGCTCATGTTGGCCTGCTAATAGTCATATATTGTCAGCTGTTGGAACCCACCAGTCACTCCATGGGAAAATGATGAAGCCGTCTGCTCATGTTACGACATACAGCCTTGGTAATGCAATGGAGAGTGACCAGGTGTCAGAATTGAGTCAGTGGCGGTAGGTTGGGTTAGAGTTATTTGAAGAACTGGCCATGGAGCCCAGGTCAGGAGGCTTTGCTCAGCGCCACAGGTCACGGCTGAGCCACTGTGGAGGTTTCTAAAGCCCCAACTTTCACTTACCTGTTCCTCATTTAATGACAGGCCTGAGTCATTGGGTTTTGTAGCACCAGTCCCCTGAGGCGCATGTGGTAAAAATACTGAGTCATAATTTTTATTTCTATTACAAATCTCATTTTCCCAAAGCCTGCTTCTCTCTGAAACGGAGTCTAATTGCATTTTATCTTTGAGTTTGTGCCCATTTTTGTGGTTGGGCTGGCTCATTTGCAGAGATTTCAGGGCGGGGGTCGGGGGAAATGGGAGATCTGGAGATTTTTATTGCTTAAGTCTTTCTTATGAAACCATTTCTCATTTTCCATTTTCTTTTGAGATGGAGATACACTGTTCGGCTCCCTTTGGTCACCTCGAAGCAGTTGCTGTTGTTTTACAAGTGGCATCCCTGTGAGATGAAGAGGATGGCTTGGCTAGGAATGGGTGGGAGTCTAGGGGGATACCCAGGAAAGGAGCAGGGATTTAGGGGGAAAGTGAGAGTGCAGTGTACTGCTTATGGGCCTTGTTAGGGAAAGTACCACTTGGGTCCAGCCATAATTATTTATTATGAAGGAGAATCGATGCCTTTGATCTGTGGTGTTGGAGAAGAGTATTGAATATACCGTGGACTGCTAAGAGAACGAACAGGTTTGTTCAGGAGAGGGTGAAGCCAGGCTGCTCCTTGGAGGCAAGGATTCTGACGCTTTGTCTGACATACTTTGGACATGTTGCAAGGAGGGACCAGTCCTTGGAGAGGAATATCATGCTTGGGAGGGTGGACAGCGCAGGAGAGGAAGACCCTCTGTGAGGTGGATTGATTCAGTGACTGGGGTAATGGGGTATGTGTGTCGGAGACAGTGAGGCTGGCACAGGATAGAGCAGGGTTTAGGGCTGTTGTACACAGCGTCGCTATGAGTCGCAGATGACTCATTGGCACACAACAACAACAACAAACAAGATTTGTTCTTAGAGCAGCAGCAGCAGCCTTTGGCCTGAGATAAGAACAAGGGTCTTTAACCTTTGAAACATGCTCGTAGTTTAGTTCTTCAAATGCTTGATTCCTTGTGATGCCTTCTAAAGGTGAGCTCTAGGTGGACAGTTCTGCATTTTTATCACTGATTGATCCCTTTCTGACTTAACCTTTGGAATCCCCCCACCTTTCTGTCAATGGCCGAGCTCCCCTGTGGGCCTTGGAAGGGTCTTCCACGATGCTCAGTCATGAACATGATGACGGCAGCTAGTTGTTTAATTGTTTTTCTTACGCTGATAGGCGTCCATCATTTACTTGAGATTGGGTGTGAGGAGCACTGTATCCACCGCCTAGTGTAAGAGCCAGGGCAGATTCCCAGCAGCTGTGAGAGGCGGGACATCAGTCAGACTGGGTCCCGGTTGGCACCAGGTAGATACTGCCCAGGCTCCCTCCTGGGACCCCTCTTCCCTTGGCAGGATTTCCGGGCCTGGGAACCCTAACCTCGAGAGAGCCAGCTTGCAGGCCTCATGCACCAGCCTCGGTTCCTTCTGCTGGAGCCAGTATTGTTGGGAGGCTTTGTGAAAATGGAGGGAAATTATGCAGAAGCTTGAAAACTGAGGAAATACACTGCAGAAGCATGTGTGTATTTGTGGAAAGATCTTGCAGACGACTTTCTGGTCGCTGGAGGTCAGGTCTCAAAAACTCGGAAACTCGAGTCTGGGTTTCACTGTGTAGTTATGCGTGGTCCAGGCAGGCGCTGAGTGGGGAAGATAGGTTTTTTTTTCCTCACACGGGCTTGTGGGCATACAGAAAATGACCTCGTCGGAAGAAAGAATCATTGTTCGCCTCATAAAGCTTACGGCAGCTTCACTGGAGCTATTGATTTGTTTAGTTGGCAGTTGGCACTTTGTGAGAGGAGCTCATTTCAAGTGGTAATAATTGAGCTCAAAATTCACCTACTGTCCTTTTCAGAGCGTTGGCACCCCAACCAGGGTGGGTGCCCCTTAGAAGCAAAGATGGTGACGTTGGTCTTTCATACTTTGGGCATGTTGTCTGGGGGTGTCAGTCCTTAGAAAAAGACACCAGGCTGGGAAAAGTTAGGTCAGAGGAAAGGAGGGAAACCCTTACTGACGATGACTGCCAACAGTAGGTGAGCTTATTATGAGAAGAGATTATAATAATAGAGATGGTGTGGCGGGCGCCGGACTGGGCCTGGCTTCAGTGGGTTGTCCGTAGGGTCGCTGTGTGTTAGAGTCCTCTTGGGAGCTCCCAGATACAGCCCTGTGTTAGGCATGGGCTGTCATGGGAGATGTTGGAACTTGCCTCCCAGAGCAGAGTGACCTGCTCTGCCCTCTCCTCCCACAGACCCGACACAGACCACCACTCACTGGGATTTCCGCAAAAGGAGAGCAACTGCACCTTCTCATGGGCAGAGACTCATCGTTGAGAAATCTGTGTGACAGTGTTTTGACCTTTTAATTTTTTTTTTCTCTCTTTAACACAAAAATGTATTCTCCTACTATTTCAGAGGCTAGGAATCCCAATTCCAGGTGCCCGCTCTAGTGGAAAGCCTTGTCTTTCTGTCTCTTGGAGAGGAAAGCCCGTGTTTCTGATTCCATCTGTGGGCCTGTTGTTCCCTGGAGGCCTCCATGGATCTTAGAGCTTCATCTCTCAGGGACCAGGGTCCAGAAGGATGCACGCCACTCCTGGGGGATATCTCTTGGTTTCACTACTGAGGATCTATGCTACGTGTCCCATTACTTCCTCCCCCCAAACACCTCATATTTCCTCTTTTTGTCTCTAATGAGATCTTTCATTGCTGTTGAGTAGGAACAAGTTCATCAGTCACCCTTGAGGGTTCTGAGGCTGTGAATTGCAAGAGAAAAGAGTGTTTGTCTTTCTCCAAAGAGCTGCTGGTGAGAGAAAAGATATTAAAAATTACTCATCCTAGGAGAGACTCCTTTACCTCTGATTAAGGACATAATGAGGTTAAGTGGTGTTGTATTTCACCTTTAATCTTCCTTAGGGGCAGTGCAGGAGAGGAAGACCTTGGATGAGATGGATTGACATGATAACTGGGACAATGGGATTAGGTGTGTCAAAGTCAGTGAGAGTGGCTCAGGGCAGCAGGGTTCAGAGCTGTTGTACATAGTGTCACTATTAGTCTCAGACAACTCGACGGACATAAAAACAACAACAACAACAACAACAATCTTCCTTTAACTGCTTGGTGTGGCAGATTGTGGGGGAATCATTGCATAGCTTTCATGTTAGATCATATACATACATTTTGGGGGACACAGTTCAATTCGTGACCTTTCATCCTTTGGCTTCCCAAATTCATGTCCTTGTCACATGCAGATCACTTTCACCCCATCATGTCATCACAAAATATTAAATCAATTTCAAGTTCAAATTTTTTCTTGGTGCAAAATTTTTCTTCTGATTCTAGGATGCAAGTTACCTGCTTCCCGTGTGCAATGGTAACACAGGTATAAAACAGATATTTCAATATATTTACATCCAAAAAAAATCAGGTTTTGTTGGCTGGCAGGAATCCTGGCATTATAAGAAAAGACCAGACTTTTTGCTTAAATTTTCATTTATTTTTCCCCTCAATGCACACTTTCCTACACTTGTGTCATTATATTCACTGATCTGTAGAAATTGTCTCAGTAAATTTTATAAATAAGATAATATTAATTCTTGGGATGTCCAAATTTTGCTCATAAACAAAAATTTTACCCAAAATAGAAAATGCCCTAGACTGTGCAAGTTGATTTACGTAGTTTGGGATTAGGCTAACTTACAGGGGTCTTACCTGTCAGCTTTATGATGAGTAGGAAGCTCTACTCTCTTCTTGATGAGTGGGAAGTGGTAAGGAGATGCGCGGCAATCCCAAAGGCATGTGGTTCGAATCCACCAGCTGCTCTGCAGGAGAAGGATGGGCAGTCTCCTCCTGTGTGATTTACCACCTCTGAAAACTCATGGGTCAGTTCTGTCTCAGCTCAGTGGTACACATCAACAGCAAGTCATAGCTGAGAAATTGACCACCGGAGACAGTGAGAATAGTGAGAGGGGTGTACGGTGACTACAGAATGGGACCTGTACCCCAGAGAGGCTCATTCCTAACCCCACGGGCACTGGGACAGAGGGAGGTGTCCCTCTGGTTGAATTGGGCTCCTCCTGTCTGTCATGAAGCATGTAGGTTTCTACGTTGTGCCTTTAACTGGACCACATGACAATTTTTGTTGATTTCATTTTAGCCAAACTCAGACCCTGAACTGGTTTTATCCGAAGATGAAAAAAGTGACACTGAAGATAAGGAAGAGACAGAGCTGGGGGTCATGGAGGAGCATCGCAGTATAATTCTTCATCTCATTTCACAACTCAAACTTGGAATGGATTTGACCAAGGTAGGTTGGCTTAGCTCATCCAAGTCCATGTGTTTCGGTTTACTCTCTGCTTCCTGGCCACCTCTTCATTGTTCCCCAGTTGGAATTGCTAGAGTGGAGAAGTGGCCAGGTTTGCTCTTAAGCGTGGCTGTAACAGGTACAGCTGCCAAGGACAGTCCTTTGTGAACCTGCTCTTATAATAAGAGTCTCGCCTTTGACCCTCAAGATGAGAAAGCCTTACCGGATTTTTTTTATACCACCCCCACCCTTGCATGTGTTGGAAGTATAATTTAACACATTGAACTATCAGGAGTTCAGGGCCTTGGGAGAGCCACAGAGCGGCCCCGGGCACTGGGTCAGAGGCTGCTCGATGACAACAGAGGGAGGATGAGAGAAAGCTCTGAGCTGATAAAGTTGATGATGGTGTTTTCCTCGCTGTGTTCTAGTGACCTGTCCAAATAGGTCCTGTGTGGCACGTAGGAGCCGAAGGAAAGGATGTAGGTAATGGTAAATAGAGTCTGAAGCCAGTGTGCATGTCTGAAGTCCAGATGTGCCCTGGAGTGTCAGTGGACTGATGGGGCAGTTAATGCACGTCGTACATACTTGCTGCTGACTCATGTCTGCGTCCACTGGGTAAAAACGTGCCTGCTCTCTCTTCCTGGTGCTTGAGCTCAGCCAAGATTCTTCCCAGGAACCTTAATCAAGAGAACTCAGTATTCTAACTACTGGCAGCATGTAAGGACCCATTGTTTATCCTTCCTCCCCTCAAGTCAATACCTTTGGTCTTGAGACAGTAGCTGACCTCCAGCAGGTTTTCAGAGGCAGTGAATGCCAGCTCTCTCAGGGATTTGAACCATGTACCTTTGGGCTGGGAGCTCTACTCCTTGCCAGTATGCTACCTGTGCTCCTTTATATATTATCTTCCTCCTCTCAGGTCAGTAGGTTGATTCTTGAGACAATCAGGAAACACATTTGTTGTATGTAGCCTAAAAATCACATGGTAACTATAGGGGTTGAGGAAAAAGCATGGCTTTTACAGTCCAGCCTAATTAAGCTCTGCATCCATTGTTGTTGACTGTCGTTGAGTCGAATACGAGACTCATAGCGACCCAATGAACCCAAGGCCTGCGGCCTTTCTATAACCATCATCATTTATCAAAATCCGTGGTTTCTGGGGTCGTGTTTTAGGATTGGATGCCACACCTGCTTCCAGTTAGTCACTCAAATCACAATGCTTGGATGAGGGGTATGAGGACCAGAGGCGGTGTGTAACCAGGAGATATGTTGTCGTCCTCCTTACAAAGGCTCAGCTGCGCAGTTTGCTGTGTGGTGTGGTGTGGTGTGGTGTGGTGTGGTAGAAGCGTAACTTCGAGGGAGAGCCTGACTTGTCTGGACACATGGGTCCCGAAGTCCTGGATTCCGCAGGCCAGCCTGGACCACATGGTGCTGGAAATGGGGGGGCGGGGCCCTGCACCACAGCCTCTGGCAGCAGCCTTAAGGAGAACTCGCTTTGCTCGTCTGCAGGGAAGGGTCTGGAATGCAGGATGTGACTGACCTGGAGACCAGAGAATGGAGAGAGGGAAGAGGTGTGGGTGTGAGGTCTCTTTATAGGCAGAGGTGGTGGTGGGCCATTTATCAGAGACGGAGAAGGCGGAAGTTTCCGAGAAGACAGGGAAGCCTTTTCTTTGAAGTGCTTTTATGAGGTTGACTGTGAGAGTGTCTGAAACGCTGGGAGGCTGCAGCGCTTCAAAGCCGATGGTGGGCCCACGCAGAGGAGGCCCCATAAAGAGGGTGTCCTGCCTCGGCCCAGCCGCCCCTCTGCGTCCCTCTCCCCTCTCTGCCCACGACGCTGGGAGCAAGCACGTCTTCCTGAAAGGCTTCCTTGATCTCATTCCAGCCTTGTCTCTGTGTAACCCTCCTTTCTTTTCTGCTGGAGAAAGGAGTTTCAATGTTTAGTTGTTTTAAAGTTCTTCTTTTTTTTTTTTTTAAAAAAAAGTGCGTTTTGCAGGCCGTGTTCAGAGCGTGCACTGAGTCCAGGTGGATATGGTCTGGGTGATGGTATGTCCAAGTGCAATACAGCAGCATCTGAAGTCACGGTGTTTCCAAATTTCACCTCTCAACCACTCAAGCCAAAGGCCTCTCCATGGAGTCCTCACTGACCCATGGCCACGTTGTGTGTCACCGTACAGCTGTGCTCACTTGGGTTTCAGGAGCTGTTTTCTCCAGAAGGTTCCCACCATCCTGAGATGCCTCTGGGTGAACTCAGCTTTCCTGAATACTTGTCGGCCACTGAGTGGTTAACTCTTTGCACCACTTAGGGAGTAAAACCCCCCAAGTTGGTGGGTCCGACGCCATTTAAAAAAACCAACAACAATAGAATATGAAATACCGTACTATTGTACTCAGGGAAAATGTTATTTTAGCTGTGTTTATCTCTCTTTATGGGGTCACATTATAAACTGTATTTTTTTAATAAAATAGAAATAATTTTAATAAACAACACAGTATTTTAACAGACACCATAAGAAGATAAGTGTCTTCCAGATAAACTTTTTTTTTTTTTAAGTTTTAGGAGTAAAATAGGTTTTGGTAGGTATTTTTTTTAAACTGTATTCTTACAAATCATGGATACGAGAACGCTTGTAAAATATTGGGCTGGAATCATGACTGAATGAAGGGATGTGTGTCTGACACTGTGTAGACATGAAGAAACAGCAAACTGCAGAGGAAACCATGGCTCGCAAGCTGAGCTATCAGAGACTCCGTGGTATGACGGTCTTGTTTTCAGATGAAGGCATTGTGTGCTTTTCTAGTTATTGTTTTATCAGGGTGTTTCTGGAGCCACTGCCCATTTCTAAGGAGCAGATACTGTGTTTGTCCAATACCCAGTGACTGGACATTGGACAGAAAGGACTTTTTGCATCTCTCCTTTGCTAACTTTTTTATTTAGTAGAAGCTGATAGTAAAAAACGGAGAGAAGTTCTGACAGGCTGAAACACTTGTGTTCCTTTTATTACTTTATTCTCCCAGGAGTTTTCTTGGCTTTTATGGCTTCCGTCATAAAAAGGTTGATGGAACTCTCTAGCCACTATCTCCTGCCTTCCCCCTGGCTCTTGCTCACGTCATTAACTTAAGCTTGTGCTAAACTGACGGTGGAAGAATTTGACCCGAGTGTCCGCAGATAGGACATTGGTGACCCTAGAAACAACTCACCAGTGAAGCTCTGTTCTCTCTCCATAAAGCTCGCAAGCTGCCCCGTCTGGGAGGACATGGCCAGTTTGGACACATTCACAGACCAGTACCAGCCTGTCTGGGTACCTCAAGCTGCATACTGCTTTTCTATTTTTCTTTCTTTTTTTAAATTTTATTATATTTTTGTGTATGTGTACCATCAAATCAGATCTGACTGGTTCAGGAGGAGATTGCCCCTCCTTCTCCAGCAGAGCATTTGGTGGATTTCAACCATGCACCTCTGGGATTGCAGTGCAGCTTCTTGCCACTAGTCGACCAGAGCTCCCTGATGTCCTTTTTTTAAAAAATGAAATTTTATTTTGTGATTTTTAACTAAAGTTTACAGAGAAGTTTTCTTCATTCATTGTTGCACATTTTACCCCCCCCTTCCCACCTCCCCCAGTTCACTTTTATTTTAAAAAAAGATATTCATTCACTGTTGCACAATTACCTGCCTGCCTCTCCCCCACCCCCAGTACTCTTTGCAGTGATATACCTCTTATGGCCGTTGTCATAATGCCTAATCATATGTTCTTTTCAGACAGTTCTTTCTTTCATCTGTTTCAAGGCAATGGTCATTATATATTCACTCTTATCCTTAATTCCTCCCAGCCCCCCATGTCAGACCTGCTTTGTAACAGTGGTGCGATGCCCATGGAGCACATCATGCCGAGTGAAAAATCTCAGTCACAAATGATGTCCTTTTTCAAAGAATGACCCCTCCTGACAGCTTGCCCAAAATCTGTGAGGTGAAGTTTCACCATCCTTAACCTCCGAGGGGCACCCTCATAGCACACCCTCTCCAAGATCTATTTAGCAGTCCCTGGAATGTTCTTCTCCAACACAATTCAAAGGTAGCATCTTTTCTTCTGTCATCTTCAGTCATTGTTGTTATTGTTATATGCCATCAAGTCACCTGCAACTCATAGCGATACTATGTACAAAAGCCCTAAACCCTGCTTTATGCTGTGCCAATCTCACTCTCTCTGACACACCTACCCCAATTACTTCAGTCACTGAATCAATCCATCTCATAGAGGGTCTTCCCTTCCTGCGCTGTCCCTCCACCCTCCCAAGCATGACGGACTTCTCCAAGGACTGGGCCCTCCTTGCAACATGTCCAAACCTTCAGTCATTAGATATATCTAATCCTTAGTAACTGCAGGACTGAAGTGAGCCCCAGACCCTTGCTGATGGTTTTATAAATTGATCTCAACTTTAGGAGGAAAAAAAATAACTGTCTGCATTGAGAATCACATAAATGTCCACGAAAGCAATTTTTTAAATGAAAAATTGAGTAAATAGGTACAAAAGAATGTAAAATAAGTCCATGATCAGGAATTCTGTGCCATCGAGTCAACTGCAACTCACAGCAGCTCTGTGAACAGCAGCTCTAAGCCGGGCCCGGCCTGCCTCATTGTCTCTGTTTCCACCACGCTGGCCCTGTTGTTATATGGACGTCCGTCTGGTGGAGGGTCTTCCTCTGACCGTCCACCTTCCCCAGCATGATGTCTTTTCCCAAAACCTGACCAGCAAGCATTCTCTGTAAAGGTCCAGATAATAAATACATCAGGTTTCAAGAGTTGCACAGTCTCGGCGGTAGCTAATCAAGTGTGTGAAAGCAGCCCGAATAACATGGAAATCAATAGAGTATCTGTACTCCATGAAAACGTTATTTCTAAAAGCAGATGATGAGCTGGCCCTCGAGTTTCATCTCCTAATTAAACATCTGCATACTCACTGCCGAGTTTGAGGAAAATCCACTGTCGTTATTGGTGTACACTTGCATG